CTGGAAAGACCCGGCAGGTGCCCCGAGCCGGCCTAGGAGTGGGGAGCGGGTCGGTATGTTGGCGCGGGAAGGAGCGGAGGTGGATGTCGTCAGCAACAGTTTATTGTCTCTGCGAGGGGAGAGAGTGGGGGGTCTCGGCCGGGAGTATTGCTGAGGGGAGGGGGAGCTGGAGTCTAGCAGGAGCGTGGCCCCTCGGGGGTCTGGGATGGTCTGCCCAAGGCACCAGAGCCACAAAGAGCCATAGTCCCTGCCAAGCGCCGTGGGGGAGGGGCTGCCTGCCTGGCTGCCTGAGCAAAGGGCCCCTGGGGACAGGAGCGTCTGTGTCACGTGGAGTACGGGCACCCTCCCACCATGTCAGAGAGGGCGCCCCCAGTGTCCGAAGGAAAGGATGGTCCAACCGGCAGTGTCCTAAGGAAAGGATGGCCAGGGGGGTGGCGAGGGGTGCAGAGGAGGGGCCTCACCACAGGGCCCGCAGCAGGCCTAGGCCCAGCGGGAGCAGCAGGCCCTCCTGCAGGGCGCAGTCCCCGGCCGCGCGGTTGCAGAGACTGCGGGCACAGCAGTGCCGGATGATCTTGCCGGCCACGCCAGGGCTGGGGGACCATTCGAACTTCGCGTTGCTGTGGGGACATCTGGGGGCACAGCGCTTGCTGAGCAACATGGCTGTCTTCGATCCTACGGAGACAGGTGGCCATGTCCCAGGCGGGACGGGAGTGGGGTGGGGGCAGGCTCGCGGCGCAGAGGACAGAGGGTGCTGTCCCCGCGGGAGAGAGCCAGGACTGGACCAGAACCTGGCCCGGGAGGGCACCCGCAGTGGGGGGCTCAACCGGGCTGGGCTGTGAGCAGGAGACCGCAGAGCTTCGCAGATCTCGCCTCCGCAGCTGCACGTGTCATGGCCCTGTGGTCGGCTCCCAACGGCTCTGCAGCTGCCAGGCCCCTGACTCCCGGCGCAGAAGACTGCGGTGCTGGCGCCCCAGGGGCCCGCGCTTTGTAGTCAAAACCCGCAGCACCCCTGGCTCTTCTGGGAGAGGGTCACCCTGCCCGCCCCTCGCACTGAACTCAGGCTCTCCAGGGAGGAGTGTCTGGGTCTGCCCTGCAGGCTCCCGGGGCACAGGGAGGCTCGGTGCTTGGTGTCTTCGGTGCCATCTCCTGAATGTGCCGCCCGATGCCAGGCGGTCCCATCTCTGGAGACGGGACAGGCTCCTGTGGGCAGCTGCCTGCCCTGGCCTGGCTGGCATCCCTTCGTTTTCCTGCTTTGGGTAGCTCAGTGGCATCAGAGCCTTTGTCCTGCCCGCAGTTCCTAGGGGGAGTGACACTTGACCCAACTTCAGTGGAGGAGGAAAAAGAAGCCCATATGCAGCGGGGCAGGAGAGGAGCTGTGGGGACGGCTGGCTTCCCACCAACCCGCCAGGTGCTCAGGACAGCCATGTCCCTCCCCTGGCACCGCCCTCTGCTGGCGAGACTCACTCAGAGAGACAGTCAGCTCATTGGATGCACAGACGCGGTCCGTGGCCTGGCAGAGGGTGGGCATGCACTTGGTGGGGCTGGTGACTTTGAAGCAGCGGTAGCAGCTGAAGTTCAAGGCTGCGGGCAGCAAGGCCACGGTGGAGGGCAGAGGGGAGTGTGCGCCTGGCGGAAGGGCCAGGCAGGACGAAGAGGAGGCTGCAGCCCCAGCCCAGCCCAGCTCAGCCCATGGCACTCTTACCTGGCGCCAAGGTGTGGTTGGCAGACTCCGCAGACACCAGCAGGGCCCACAGGACCAGGGTGAGCCTCTCCATGGCACGGGTCTGCATCAGGGAGGGTGGTGGTGGAGGTGGCTGCTCCAGGGGCCCCATCCCCTCCCACCTCGGTGCTCCTGCCTGGCCTCTGGACACGGCCCTCCCAGCCTCCGTCAAGACCGCCAGGCCTGGTTCTACTTGCCCCAATCCCAAGCTCATCTGCCCATCCACCCACAGTCCCAACCCCTCCGTTCCTTCCTTGGGCCAGGTGACCAGGCTGGGTCCTCCTGGGCTTGGGGGTGCAGTGTCTGGCTCCTCCTTAGGGCTTTGGCCCTGGAGAGGCTTCCCAGGGCTACTGATCCCATGTCTGGGTCTCCACATGTCCCTGCAGGAGCGTTGCTGAGAACCCAGGAGGGGGGCAGGGACCTGGTCTCTCCTGAGCCCACTTGCGGTCCACTCGTCACCCGCAGCTCGGCCTTGCCTGGCCCTGGCGCAGTCACTGCTCCATTTGCTAGCCTGTGGGACCGCTTGGGCTCAGTGCTGAGAGGGACGGACCCAGAAGTCTCTGAGCCTGGACCAGGTGGAAGACAGAGGTCCCTTCCTGGGGCGGGGCTGTGGCAGCAGCCTGGTGTTAGGAGGCGTTCCACCCTTAGGAAGGAGGAGTCTCCAGGCTGGAGATCGGGTTAGGTCTGGATGGTCGGATGGTGGGGTGCTGCAGAGTGGTGAGGAGCTGGTTAGGGCCACACGGGGCAGTGGGAGGGAGGACGGAGGACAAACCACCATGGGAACTTCGTGTTTGCTCCAGAGTGCTGGGGAGACTCTCCTTTGGGAGGGATGGCCACCCAGCTGGCTCCAAGCCATAGCCTGAAACCACAGCGCCATTGCGGTCCCGCCAAACCCCAGTCCTGCAGAGAGGCTGCTCCCCAGGGCTGCTGGAGCAGAGGGGCCCTGACTACCTCAAACCACAGCTCCAACCCAGGCTGCCCCCCACTCCAGTGCCTTCTCCCTACAGGGCAGTCTCTGGCCTGTGATTGTCCCTGGGTCAGGGCCCAGTTGGGTAAGGCAGGGTGTTTACTGTCCTATGCTCTGGGATTCCAGGCTGGGACCGCACGGGGGTGGGGGGGAGAGGAGTGGTTCCAGGTGGTCTTGCAGGCCTCTGGAGGCTCCGCCCTGAGCCTTACCAAGAGGGCCAGCCAGAAATGTCACCCTCAGCCCAGAGAGTCACTGGTCCACTCTCCTCCTCGGAGTCCTTCCTGGGACCCTATTCCAAGGCTGTTCCCTCTGGGCAGCTCCCACGCCCCTGGGGCCCTCGGCTAGAGCAGGCGAGCACACAGGCTCACCCCATCCTTTCTTCTCTTTTCTCTCCCTGCCTGCACTTTCTGATCTGCAGGGGTGAACAAGGCCCGGTTAACTGTCTGCAGGGGTCTTGCTGGAGGTGAGTGGCAGGAAGAATAAAGGGTAACTACCACTTCACAGCAGCTGGGAAGGGCTGGCCTGGCCCCCAGTGACTGCCGCCCCCACCTCAGCCAGGGCTCAGCACTCCCCCAACGAGGCCCAGCTCACAGGCCCTGTGTGAGAGGGTGCTGTGGTTGTCCCCTCCCAGTCCACCCACACGCTGGCCAACTGGACCGTCTTCTCCCTGTACTGCCTGCTGCTCCTCCCAGGAGCCGAGGTTGGCTGTGCGCTGGCCCTCGCCTGCTCTCTGCCCCTTTATCCTGGGATGTTCTAGTCCTTTCTGTGGCCCAGCCTCGGGGGCTGGGCCCCATGGGTCGGCTGCAAGAGGGCGGGGGGAACACGGTGCGCTAACTCACGTGTCGCGGTGTGGTTCTGTGCGCACGTGCTGTCCCCGCTGTGGTTGATCTGAATGTGAGTTGGGACCACGAGACTCAAAGCGCTCAAGGACAGAAAGCTCTCGACAGTGGCCTTGCCGCTGATGAGTCTGGGGAGTGGGGTGGGAGCAAATGCGGATCCCGCAGTGAGCAGGCTGGGGTCTGTGGAAGCTCGTCTGGGGCCTGGGCCTGACTGCAGGCATGCCGGCCACCGTGGTGACATGCCTGGTCACCGGCCTTGCCCAAAGCCGGCTCTGTCCTGGTACTGGCTGGGCGTGCTGGTTGCGACCATGTCTGGCTGTACTCATGGCTTTAGTTCTGGGCTCCTTTGTGGGCGAGCTATGGGACACAGCAGTCTGTGGTGGTGACAGGGATGACTGGGGACAAGGAAGGGTCAAGCGTCTGGCCCATGGCCAGCAGGGGGTGGGGCATGGGACTGCTGTTTTCAAGACCCTTTATTGGAGCATGCAATTCTCTCAACTGCTGATCACCCCTGCTGTCCCACAAGCAAGGCCCCACCGTTTTCTTCTCTCGGGGAGCTCCTGGAATTCTCACAGCAGGGAAGTTTTGTTCTTGTTGCTGTTTTGGCATTATTCATTTAATTCCATTTGTTATTATTATTATTTTAAAATTTGACCGGACAGAGACAGAGGGAGAGAGTGAGAAAGTGAGCTGCCAGGTCTGTGACTCGAACTGCGGTTGGCCATGTGGGAATCCAGCACCTTTACCACCATGACACCTGCCGGTCCCACTCCAGGGAAGCTTTAAAAACCCGCCAGTGGGGAGCTCTGCATCTGAGGGCTGGAGCCTGGCTAGGGGTCTTTGCTTCTCCTGCCCCCCCCCCGACCCTGCGGTCCTGAGAGAAGGGACCCCTCAGTCCTGGCAATCTCTCTCGGGCTCACCCTCCTGGCTCTGGCATTTGCCCAGTGTGTGGGCCCATGCCAGCTGGCAGCAGAGTCCTGGAGGTGCACAGTGGCAGACCCAGCACTGCCTGAAGGTGCCCAGGGTGCTCAGGACAAGGATGACTGGCATTTCCGGAGCGTGTCCCTGTACGTCATTCCTTTGTAACCTGGTTTCAATCCCAGGAGGTGCGACCATCGGGACGTGCATCGTGACTTTTCCAGCAACCTTACACACACACAGCTGAAGCAGCTTTAGCTGCAGGTCTCAATCCAGAAAACTTGAAGCCACATGTGTAAGAAAGTGCTGGCCGTCTCTCGCCGCAGAGGCCCGGGCATGTGGAGCCCAGTTTGTAGGCGCGTGCTCCAGCCCCAATGCGCGTGTGGGCTGAGACGCACAGTGGAAAGATCTCTAAGTGGCAAACGGGGGGTTGGGGCAGCAGGTGGCATGGTGGCTAAGGTTCTGGTCCCACGTGGCTGTCTGTGAGGTTCGAGTCCTGGACCCTGGCGACTTGAAAATCACTCTGGGTAGGTGTGAGTGTGTGCCCCAAATCCTGAGAGGAGACTGGAGGAGAAGGGTTTGTGGTGCACCGCCCCCCGGGTGATTTCTCACGTTCCCTGTCTCTCTCCAGGAAGAGCATGCACCCCGTAGGGGAAAGAAAAAAGGACAAAGTGAGCCAGCTCCAGGCCTGGTGCGTGGGGCAGCAGACCCCACATGGCCAACCGCATGGTTCACGTCTTGCCCTGGGGAACTGAGGAACAGCTGTGTGAGTGCCCTGAACGTCCAGGGAGTGGAGAGAGGAAGGAGAAGAGGGTGCAGTGTGGCCACGCCCTGCTGGGGTGCCTTCTCCCTCTCCTCCCGTCTGTCTCCCTCTCTGCCGTGTGCACACGCCCAATGGTAAGTGAAAATAAAATGAAAAAGCGAGATGGAAGCGCCCCTTAGTGCAGGCGCGGAGGGGGCAGAGCAGACAAGGCGCACACCTGTGCACACCACGTCGCTGTGCCCGTCCTCCACCCACTGCACCCTGGGAACTTCATACGCGCCTGGTGCCTTCCAGACTGACGGCTGGGGACGGAGTCAGAGTCGCCTGTGGGACTCAGCGTCCCCTGAGTGGCACAGTAGGTGGCACTCCGGAGCCCCGGGAAGCCGAGCGAACTCTCCAGAGGCAAGCGACTTCTCTCTCTCGGTTCTCGCCTGGCAAAGCCCCAGAGCATCCCGGCAGACGACGGCCCTCTTCAGCAGAGAGCGGCAGACGAGGAGCAGGGGTGCAGGCTGGAGTTGCGGGCGCTGCCAGGGGTGGAGGCGGCGGCTCCCAGTGCACGGCTGCTCCCTGCGCTGGTCTGGTCGCTGCTCGGTGGTGGCCGATGGCAGAGGGGGAGGCGCCACCTACCGGCCATCAGGGGTGCCCTTTGCGGTTTCTCACGGACCTCATAGGAGAGGATGGGTCAGCCTGGAGCTCTGACAGTGAGGGACGCGCTGCCCCGGCCCCGCCTCCACCCCACCCCAAGTTCAGGCCCCATTCAGGCCGCCCCCAGCGCCAACCCCAGCCCCAGCCTCAACCCCCCGCGTCCTGAAGGCAAGTCCTTTGGCTTTTGGCTGTGTCCTTGAGCTAAGACGACACCCCTCAGAGACAAAAGGCTGTGCTGTCCTTGCAGCTACACCCGAGCCTGGTCCGTGCCCTGCACACCGTCTGCAGCTGGTCATTGGCTCGCGGCATCCTCTTCTCCGAGGGAAGCACCTGCCGTTGGCGCTCGGAGGTGCTCACATGTGCTCCTGCTGTGGCCACGCCCTAACAAATTGTGCCAGCTCGCGTGGGCAGTCTGGCCTCTCTGTGTGGTGTGACAGCGAGGGTCGGACCTGCTTGGGGTCCCTGGACTGGAGGTGCGGATCCTCTCGTCAGCAACACCACCCGCACCGGAGGTGAGGTCTTTAGCCTGTCCAAGGCCAAGTTGCTCTGGAAGGGTTGACGGTGGCAGAGAACGGGAGCGGCCTGTGGGGTGGGCTGGGAGGGGGAGGCGGCGAGCCCGGGAAAAGGGGCCCTCTGG